AAAATGAGAGAGACGGAGACTAAGGTAAACTTCTTTTATTTGAAGGCTGGATTTTCATTTTCCCAGTGGCAGGCTTCTTTGTATGGGGGTCTTGTATGTAGTGATCATCAGTTATTCAGTAACAACAAATATGGATTTTTGTTCCGGTCAAAAAAACCGGTCCACCGACGTATCGGTTTTTTTGGACCGGATCGATAAAATTTTACGGTCCGAACATATTTAAAAGAGTGATATTTTGAAAAATTTTAGTAATGCTACAGATTTACAAAGCTATACCGTTATATATATATGATGTAAAATAGGCATTATTGGTTTCAGAAGGTTGTAATATGGGGGCTTGTGTATTTGCAGAAAGTATTTCCAAATTGCAGGACGAAATTTTGACTCTTCTGCAATATTGCAGAGCACTGAAAAAAAGTATTTCGACCACTGTAGTATAATGGAAAAATGACTTGGGCTTTTATTGTATTACTAGTATGGTTACTAGTATCCTTCATTTGTACCTACCTAAAATTTTAATATACCTGAACAGGGTCACATTACACTTAGAGCAAGACTAGGCAGAAAGGAGTTTGATTTCAGGACATATTCTTACCAAGTACCACATCATAATCATATATATTATGCCATGTGTGTGCCACCCACAACCCCCACCCCCTCACAGCCTTACATCATGTAACTGCTCATTAAACAGGTTACTTTTAGCCTGACCAAATCAAAGCTCCATTTTCCTAGGCCTTCTCTTATCAACCATGATGTTAGAGCATGGGACTATTGATCTGTAGTGGCCGTTTTATTCCAATTATGATATGAGAGAGCCGGCCATCCATACTAGATGAAGATATTGCCATGACGCAAGTGGTCAACCGCTGCAAGATATCAGGGCTCGAAATACTTTCTTCAGTATACCATTGCCATTATTTCTTCTATTCTCCATAGGTGGTAACACTAACAGTCAATGCAGCAAATAAAAATCCACATACATGTACACCTACATGTATATGGCCGGTACAATCATGATCACTGCAGGTAGACATGAAGAATACCTGCACAGCTCCAATTTTACTTGCACTAATCTGCATATGCAGGTGGGATTTCCAGCCCTGGATGTGAAGAAAGTAATGACTTAGGCAAGGAGACTACATGTAGCTTTGAGGTCCTGTTCCTGTTGACTTCTTGGCAAAAACTGTCCTTTTTCTATAAAAATATCTGGGAACCAAGAAAAAAAAATGTACACCCTGATTTGTATGAGCTTCTCCAGTGCTTTAGCGCTTTCTAAAAGACGTAGATGTGTACACTGAACTCATTTCTTTCTGCCCGCACATTTCAGCCATACCAGTGTGAGGTCATCCCACGACCTCATTGCATCACAGGGCAAAGGTCACCAGCAGCAGCTGTTTGGCTGTATATTCAAATTACGCAAGTGTTAGAACTTCTGTGTACATGTACCGACTTGTAACATCTCTATCTTTTTCTGTGAAAACAAACTGATACTTCATACCAGTGACTAATATATGCTTTTTTTTTATAATACAGGTTAAGGACTATGCCAAATGGAAAACACTACAAGATTTTAATTTTTTTGTCCTGATGATATTTTTTAAATGTTTTCCTGATCATTAATTTGGATAAGACTAGAATGTGTTGTGTAAGAAGCATAATTTACACACATTTTCAACACTGAAAAGAAACTAATATTCAAGTTTTACTGGGTCATGGTAAATGCCTCAATTATCTTACATTACTTGGAAAAAAATGAGGGGAATAGACTTATACTGTAGACAATCTGGAAGGATCTAAGAGGCCAAATTAGTTTATCGTAGAGAGGTAGACTTTTTTCTTGACCCCAGAATACTTTATTGTGCAGTCGTCTACTGAAGTATCGAATTATACCAATAATCTGTCAGTGAGGGATGGATTCAACGGAGCAGCCAGAAATTGTAGCGTTGTCTCGCATGGGCGCTGGCTCCTCGGCGATCTTGTGGCACTCTGCAATCGTAGATAAAATTGTTAGGCTGTCATCATTCATAAACGATGGTCTACTTTGTCAGGCATGCAAAATCGGTTAGCAAGACAGACTGTGTCCCCCAAAGGTAAATGTAGCTGTTGGGCGCTTCACAAGAAATCGTCGATTTGTTCGAATAGAAGTTTTGGAAAGGTTAAAAATTGTACGAACAGGTCTACGTCAGTCACAGTCGCTCTTGAAAGACGCAAAGCGGGATGGTACAGTTCCTTTACAAACCAAAAGTCCAGGTTTAAGTTCAAGGGACAAGTTTTGGGACCTGATTGGCATTACTGGAGCGTGTTGTCGTTGTGCCCGTTCACAAAAAAAGTAGCTCATCACAGAATGGTGCCTGAAAGTGCAAATTTTTAAGACAGGACTTATTTGATGATGTCACTGTGGCAGAAGAGTTCCATTTGGCGATGTCATTGCTGCGACGTTGTGTCTAGCGTGCCCGACAAATGTTGGCGCTGATAAGGGAACTACCGCTGGTAGCGACTGGGATTTAAAAATTTCACAATGGCAGCACAGACGCCCAAATGCCAAAATCATCGCAGCTTTTGATATTATCTCTAATTTCCTGGGACGCTTTGGCGGGGTATTTGTGGAATGGTTTATTGTCTTTGGTTTTTTATGCGACTTTAATCTTATTGTGGAGCCTTGTTCGGACATGTTGCAATCAGGAGAGCAACAATTGCTTCCCAATAACGCACATTCGAAGGACTAATCAGCGAAATGTAATATCAGCAGAGCACTTTGTAATGATTATTGTTAGCTTTGCGAGAAAAGGTTGATTAAGTATCAGTCTACATGTGTGGGTAGCGTCCTGATAAAAAGTGGCACACTGATGTCGTTTAACTCTGCTCACGTGATTGTTCATTTTGCAAAATGTTCCATTTGCTTCTGGCTTAAATATAATTACAGTCTGATTTTATAAAAGGCTTTTGGACATAAGGCACACTTCTGGAGGTGACAAGAGTCAAACAAAATGAGTTCAGCCAGACGTTTTTGGAGCTTTGACAAGTTTGAATTACTCTACTACTAGTACTAAGCCTCCCA